TGTGCTCCTTGGGTCGAGACACCCTTACGTCAAGTGTGGACGTGGAGCCTAGTGAAAGGTTATTTTGTGTCGTTTTAACATTTCTTTTGATCCTCCTGCGGAGCGCATTGAAAAGAGGCCAGTGAGTTTTTATATATGTATATATATATATATATGTACATTCACTTTTCTTGTTAGCAGTGGGTACTTTCGCTTGCCTGGGACGTTGGCACAATTTCAATGATTTTTGCCCAGGAGTGCTTTCGCTGCGGGAGAAGCAGCCAAACTCGCACAAACGCATGAGAACCCGCAAGCGCCCACGGTCCTTGAACTGGCTGTGCCTTTGCTCAATTTGACCCCCCGATTTATGCAAGAGAAATCGTCGACTGGCACAGAACCCTTTGAGACATCCACCGAAAAAAATTACAGTACAAACTGCATGAACAGGTGCACGGAATACACAGCATGCCCTGAACATGATTGAGGCACAGGCAGGCTGCAATGGATAATTTGTTACACCGCCGCCGCCTTGTTTTTTTTTTTGGGGGGGAATAGACACCGCGCTGCCAGTAGTAGTGGCAATCATGTGCAAGATTGTCAAGCGCTTTGTCGATCAGGAAGTCTTCAGTCGACTGTGCCCACTGGACGGTAAGCTGGACAGCCACCAGTTGCCAGATCTTTGCGCTCAAGTGCCCTTAGCACCTTTGGACCGAGCAACTTAACTTGCACAGAGCTTCCAAATGCTGCAGTCTCCGCGTAGTAATAGGAAGAGGATCGCAATGTTGAACTCAACGAATCACATGAATCACATGGAGCAAAAATTCAAGAATTGTAAGGCCTTAAAACGCTAGGAAACCTTCTGAAGTGCTTCCAACCAGAGGGCCGCACAGTTGTCAGAAGTATATAGATTATATAGCTCGGTAGAAAAGTCTCGTCCGGCATCTCTTCCGAGGTGAGAAGCTCCCTACACTGTGACCTCACACTGCAAGCATTCCTGGAGCATGTCTATGGAACTCCCACCATTCTGGGCTGGTGGCCGAGCCTCATGGAGGAGTGATAGTAACATGCTCCCCATTGCAAACAGTACGGCGTTGTCAGGCGTTGTTTAGTTTTCTCACGAGGTTTCTCTTAATTTCGGAGAGTTGTGCACAATGAAAATGCTAACTTTGTTGTGCCAGGCCTCCGAAGCAATCTCCATGAGGGTATGCAAATCACACATTTTGTTCGACATGTGCAGTGAGGCCTGTGAAAGAGAATCCCCCACAAGAAGCAAGATTGCCAGCAAACAAAGTAATGATGGACTCAGGGATGCTCAGGGTGTTTCAGCATGCGTTTACACGCGGAGGTTGTATATGTATATTAATATGTAAATGTATATATGTAACATCAGTAGTTTGATTGCAATTCTGGGGACTGCGCTGGCTGCGACAGAGTGACACAGGAGGCCGCAAGCCATATCTCTGGAAGCGGCCTTGCCCTGAGCGACCTGTGTCGCGTTTTTGAGATGGTCGCCAAGCGGGGAAGTGTGGAGCTGCAGGCGATGCTGATGCCGTTTGTTTGTTGGATGGTTGGTTGGTAATGCCATGTGATGGCCTGAAGTGGTCAGGTTAGATATCGTGTTTGCACTATGAATTTTCGTTGGACTGTGTAGTGACAGGCATATTATCGATGCGACAGAGATCTTTTCTCACAAGATGCTGGATATATTGTTACTCTCAAGTAGGTCACGTTCCAATGTCAATTGGCATTTACTGTAGTGGCATAACTAGGCTGCCTGCCTAGTCAGGACTTGCACGATGTGGTGCTGCCTGCCTTGGAGTGCCTTGGGCGGCTTGATGGCCTTGGTCCAATGGCTTAGTTGGGGAGCTACTGGGTGCTTTTGGGGAGCGAGCATAGGCAACTGATGGGACTCCAGATGCTACCAATGATTTGCTAAAAGAATTGGACTCCAATGATTTCTCATGGGAATCATTTCGACTCCATTCTCATCCTGGAATCGAGTGGAGACGGAAGCCAGGCTTCCTACGGAAGGAGAGGTGGTCGAGGAGCAGCTGGACATGTCGTGAGTCTGAACATCAAGTCGGCGTGTACGAACGGTTAGCTCTCATCAGTGGCTGTCGCACTCCTGTTCTGGTTTTGCATCGCCTTTAGAGCAGGTATAATGCGGGACCATTTGTTAGTCAATGCTTGTCATATTCACTGATGCCAATTTTTTCACTGCTCTCAAACCAGAGGCTCATGGATGGGCCGAACATGTGTTTGCTGGTTGCCTCTTTGTGCGGCTTCATGGACATGCAGGAGAAGTTTGCGGAGCTTCATGGGAGTGCGCCGTTGACCTTCCGCACGTTTGCCAAGTGGCTAGCTGTTGCTGGGAAGCAGTCATGCCAGCTGTTACTTGAAAACACTGCATCATGACCAACGTAACATGATGGTTTGGGTCCGAGCTTCTGAGGACCTGAACATCAAGTTGCAGGCGGCCAGTGAAGAGAGCCACAATTAGACCATGAGCTCGCAGGCCCACACTCTTTGGGCTCGTTGAAGCATTGTAAAGCACTGTTGGTGAATATTTTTGTGCCATACTTCTTGGCCAAAGGCCAGGCAGAATGGTGCCCTTGGCCAGCCGTTTGTGACGTGTACAGTGGCCACATGGCTGTCCTGTTTTGATCCTTGCATATGCTTGCCATCGGATGATACATGATCACAACATATAAGAACTCTCGAAGTAGCTGCAGCAAGACTGTCAGGATAGCAGCAGTCCTAACAGTCCTGACATTTCTCTCATTTCAGCCAGTTCTGACACAAGTTTGTGCCCAGGTTTATGTGTCCAGACCTTCTGGCAAGCCATTGGGCATCAGGCTTTGAGCCCAAATCAGCCCGCGCTCGCGCGTCGACTGGGCATGTGCCAGGCCGTACTGTAGTGGTAGAACATGGTAGGACTATGCGCCCCACATCGAACATCACCACCAGCTTCGTACGACTCGAAACTGCTGCAAGCATCAAGAACGCTCAACATCAAGCCCACACCACAGTTCAATGCCCTGTCCATCTCCGGTACACCATGGACAGGTTACTCTGAGATCTCTTAGCATCTCTTAACCATAGCCTCGTCGTGGTCTGAATCGTTTGTGGGTCCTTTCGTATTTGCTGGGCTGCCCTTCAGGATTAAAGGATTCCGGTGCAACTGTGTTCTCACCAGCCTAAATTTGCAACCCTCTTTGCTGCCACTATCTCATCTGTCTCCATGTTCACACGTGCTCACATTCTCAGGCCCAAGCCTGCTGAGTTTGGACTCGATGGGATGCTTTGAGACGACTCTCGGTGCCTCGAGTAGATGCCATGAACTCAGCTTTCTGACTGTTTTCTCTTCCTCACGCCACCTTGCTTCCCCAGAAAACGCAAACAGGAACCCCACAGGTTGGAGTCGTTTGGCGATCACATTGTCAACGGGTTTCATCATCCAACACTCATTAATGTGTGTTCATGTGGTTGAAGTTTTCGAGTTTGGAGTGTAGTCACAGCAGTAGCAGCGCTTCATGCACCAGGGACATTGCTGAAGAAAGATACCATGCCAATGTGTGCAGAGTGATTTTTGCGGCTTCTCTCAAGAAAGGCATCTACTCTAAGGCTGCAGGAAGTTGAAGGACTGTAGGTCTTCCAGCCCATTCTGTTGCAATCACTGCAGCATGAGACTACTGTATCCAGAGGTGCCATCTCTCCCAGATCTTACTTTGGTCACACGATGGGCAGACTTTGCCATTGCAGGTTGGGAACAAATCACATATTCACCATGTTTCACCCACAAATACCCTCAAGTGCGCTAGACGGAGATGCCCATTCCAGAGACAAGGAAGAATGGTGCTAAAAAACCTACTTGTTCATATCAGTGTCCTGAGGCCTAGTTGAGTGCTGACAACTTCCGCCAATGTGTGGAGGGACCCCCCGCTGCGCAAAGATCCGCAGCTTGATTCATTCTCTCGAAAATGAACGGCGGTTGGCATTTCGAACATGTAGCACCCTAGGTGGAAGGTGTAGTAGCCTTCTTCCACAACTTAGTTTGGTAGGAGGCTTGCAGCTGGCCATTTGAGAATAAGGCCAGGAGCCCCTAATAACTTCTTGTTCCTAGTAGTAAGGCCAGGAGCCCCTAGTAGCGTCCTTGCTCCCAGTAGTGGGTGATGTAATCGAGCGATCTCGCAGGTCCGCTTTTGATACAGTTTATCACTGGGGCTTCCTCAGACGGACGGCATCGCGTCCATGGTTGTTTTTTGAGATGAAGCGCCGCCGGCAATTTGATGTCAAGGGCAGCTTTAAGACCTATGATCGGTGAGAAGGGCAAGGACATCTAACAACTTGCATTTGGCAGGTCAAAAGTAGTGTACTTGTAGTAATTATATAGTCGATACTGGCGTACAGGTTGTACAGTGAAGGCTGGACAAGAGTCTAAGAGGTTGGATAATGTTGTCTTAGCGTGGTCGCCACGCCATTCTTGTGGTTTTACAGGCGGTCCAAGCCTCAGCAACCACTTATGTGGACTCTAGCATCCACAAACAGTAGCTCTAGCAGCCAGCAGTCAGCACTGTCTGCCACTTTTGCTTGTATGTTGTGCGTGTGCACGTTTGTAAGCATTATAATGGTAACATTCTGTACGATTATCCAACACCTCGTCACTGTTTTTGCCAAAGCCTGGCGCACAATGCACACTAGCCCACTCGTAGGTTAAGTGGGATGATTTGCCAGAAGCTAGGCTAGGCACACCAAGCCAAGCGCTTGGGTTTGAATTTGAGGACTGCCTTCGACTTGTGCACTTTGTTCCCAGTGTAGTGCTCTGACTCTCGTTTCCCCCATGACCGGTGGCTGCCTGCACCTTGCGCTGCGATGTATTTTGAGACTCAGACTCAGTGAGTGAGAAATCGGGACTATACTTCCTGCGGGTATGGAGCCTGTGTGGCTTTCGGCTTTGTAGTGAGTTGTTTCTGGCTCCGTGGCCTTTCGGCAGGCTTTTTGCGGATTTTGTTGGGTTTTTGTGATTTCAGCTGGCTTCTCAAGACTTTAAACTTTAGACACCTTTGTTGTCCAGCGCCCAACACACCCTTTCCAACTTTGAGCAGCACAATACAAAATGACCCACACTTTGGCAAATCACTTTGGTGGTTCCACATGCCCTTGCACCAAGCTTGCCTCTTGTGTGGCCGAGTTTGACATGTTGCCAGGTTGTCTCCTAGAGCACGCTCCTTGCTAACACAGACTTTCATGACCTTGGCTGGTCAGGTTAGTTTTGCCTTGTTGCACGCTATATAGACTCCTTTGTTGGCGTTCTGGCGTTGGGACCCATCAGTTTCCAAAAACGACTTGATAGAGAGGTTCGGGGGTGTGCAGCGTAGGTGTTCATCGCCCTCGTTCTTTGGCATAACACACGCCTGTGTTGCTAGTTTTGAGAAGTCATTGTGGCCTGAAAGAGGCCCAGAATGGCACTGAAAACTAAAGCATCTCAACCACCCACTGCAATACCATGAAAAGATAGACCGAAGGTACCCCTTATCCAATAACTATGGTGGTGTGTTTGAGGAATTTGGGATGCCTCACCCACTGGCCAGGCTCAAAACTTGATAGGTACGAAGCTGACCAACAAATCTTCAAATAGAGGCCTCGTACAAGCCTTGAAACTTAATTGTCCAAAGTGTGCGCAACAGATGGTACTTGTAGATCGAAAGGACTAGCGACTAGGACAGTAACTCTGAAGCTCAAAACTGAAAACATCGTATTTCAAACAGAAGCTCATCCTAAGTCTCCAAGGTGCAATAGATGATAAATTAATTAGAGTATCTTTGGACTCAGAGTCTCCGAAGCGCTGGAGCAAGAAGCTAAGAGTTGTGAACATGTCGTACATGCCAGCAGATTTGATCCTCGGACCTGAAATGACAAAAAGCCAGCTAAATGCCACGGCTTGCTGATTTGGATGCTCAGAGTCTCCAACACACTCTAGTTGCCGGCAGATTATGAAGCTGGCCCCCCTAAAGAATCACATCCTCAAACACAAGACCTGATTTCCTGTAGAGATTCGCGACCTTGGAACACCTAATTAGTAATTCAATGTAAGTCAATGCGTGCTATGCCATGATGGATTCACAAGATTGTTTTGCAGCCAAAGGTTTGCACTGAATAGGCTCCCTAATGCGGTTGACACGACCGATTGAGCTCTTGGGTGTTAGTTATGAGTTATCAATGGTTTCGCTCTCATCATTCTTACATTTTTATGTTCAATTTGTTGACCGCCTGTCAAGCAGCAGTCAACAAACAATGTATAAGTGAGCAACCTCCTGAAACTCAGGATCTAGAGTGGCCTGCAGTGGCTTGCTGAGACCCAGATGAAAAGCGACCAGATTGACCTTCACAGTGGAGGACTGGATTCCCCACATCAAGTTGGTCCCCACATCAAGTTGGTCTGACACCGCCCAGCTGTGGTGAAGAAGTGCTGGGATTGATTGCTGGGATCGCTTGGTTTGCCCGCTTTGACAGCAGGACTCTCACTGTCCATCCTTGAGGCGATTCAAGCGAAGGGTGAGGCGTGAGCCATGGAACCAGTGAAGCATCTAGGCTTGAAGCAATTTGAAGCATTTTTTGACAATCCTTCAAGATTCAAGACCTTTGTTCACCTTTGCATGTAAGTAGATGCAATGCAACTTTGTTTAACGAGAGTCACATGTCATGACTGCTGCGCTGAGTCACTGTGCATCATTCTGACAGTCAAACCGCATATGACTTTCACTTTTGGCCCAAGCGCTCTTGTCCTCACGACATCCTTGTCTCAAGCTTCTTGTACAAACGTTCTTCAGGATGCTGTCTTCAATCGTGCGCCGTTTGCCAGTGCAGGCTGAGGTGCGGCCGGCCGTGCGCTTCCACTGCCAGGTGCCATGCGGAATCTTCACCGACGAGCTCCGTGTGCAGGCCATGATGGAGGATGCATCGACCATTCGTAAGTCGGTGGTCCAAGCACAAGAGCTCCACAAGGCCGGAGCGCTGCAGGACATCCACCAGATGGTGCGCTGGATTGCAACCAAGGAAGAGCATGCACAAAAGATCATGACAACTACAGCAGACTACTTCCTGGCACAGAAGGTGAAGAAGGCAGATCTTGACCCAGATGAGTACTTGAAGCGCTTGGCTCTCCACCATGATGTGATGGTGGCCGCGATGAAAGCGAAGCAATCATCAGAGCTGGGTCCAGTTGACACGTTGGATGCAGCCATCCAGGCGTTGGCACCCATCTACTCAAAATGAGGGGCCCAGATTGAGCTTCCATTGGCTTTCCGGAGATTGTTCCAGCCAATTTGGCCGTGAGTCCGTAGGAGTTTTCTGCAAGACTGACTAAGGGTTCCACATGTTAATGATGACACGGGCGGACATTTTGGAGACTCCGCTATGGAACCTTTCCTTCCCAAACTGGAAAAGCCATGAAAAGCCTTTTAAAGGAAGCTTTGATTTGAAACCATAGGGAACTGAGCAGTGCTGAAAAGAAAAGAACTGGAGCTGCATGTTTTGCATTGTGGCTGCACATTGCCAGCTTCTCATTCGGCCTTGTGTTACTTGGCTGCGAGTGTTGGGGGGCGCAAGCCTTAAAGAACAAGGCCAAGCATTCTTCAGAATCAGAATGTGTCGTTCGAGTAATGCTGTGGCGTGGTGGAACATGCGAAGCAACACGGAGGCAAGTGCTGGACAAAACTGCACTTAGGTTTGACTTTCCTAGAAAGGGAACAATCATGTCCGCGAGCTTGTCATTTGCATGTTTCTGGTTGACAGCAGCAGGCTTCACAAACATGTTAGCAACAGGGGTGTGGCCTCACCAAGTTGAAGTCAACGCCTCAACGCCTCCGCCATGGCTTGAGGGTGCGTACCAGTGCTTTTCAGGCAGAGCACGGCTTCCAACATGTCGCGAGAGTGCGGTTGGTCAGAGACACGGAAAATGCAGATGTTGAAGGTCTGATGGCCCAAGACTTGGTATGAATTAGAGTGGTGTTCACTTTGAATCAACTAAATGCTTTAGAGTGGAGCTAGGCAGCTAGGTATGGCAATCATTGAATCATGGATGCAACTCCAACCGCTTGGAGCTAAGCTGTCTCCTAATCATCGTCGTTTCAGGTCGGTGCTTGGTGGAGAAGTCGTTTCCATCATGTGGTCTTACCTGGGGAAGTCTGCCATTTTCTTGGGCGGCTGTTGCAGCGGCGCCGCGGCGGCCACCTTTTGGCGCTCGGAGGAGCGAAGGCAGCAGATCAAGTCAGGAGAGTACTACCAATTGAAAGGAGCGGAAGCAGAGAAGCAGAGCGGTTCCGCAGAGAAGTGACAGGGAGTGAGTTATGGTGAACCATGATGAACGGGCATAAGATTGCATTGGAGGCATTGAGGTGAACGTGACCTGCCTGAAGGTGTGATCAGTGACATTTACTCAGAGTGCGGAGTATCTTGATGAGGTACCATGCGACACGGTTTTGTTTAACCCCGGCCAGAAACCTGTCTATGGTGGTCACAAGTCAATGCAAACTATTGCAAACTGTAAAATCAATTGTTGGAACCATGATGGTTAAGATGGTTAAGGATAAAACTGTTGGAACCATGGTTCATTCAAACGGACATGGTTCCAACCATTCATCAAATAAAGCCACTGATGATGGGATGGTCAAAGGCGGCTTGTTTGAGGAAGCTACTACCAAGTCCTGGGGCACGCATGGGCCGCTCTTCTGCATTGCTGACCCACTGTATGTCCACGTGCTCAGATGCGCATGCAAATATGACAGGCTAGCTTAACACAGCTTAAATTAAGCTTCATCTAAGGACCACTTCCGCAGAGATTTTTGCGGCCTGGCACTGGTCCAGTTTAAAATATCTTCCTCGGCCTTACTGTTTATAGGGAGAAGGTCAGAATCATGAAGAATCATTGTCCTTGTGTCAACACACTGGGCTACACAACCTTGAAGTTCTGCTCGAAAAGTCCTTGGTACCTTTTCGAGCAGAATAGATCTTGTGACCTTGCTGCTTGATTCTTGGGCATGTTTTCTTCATAATATTCTGGGACATCCTGAGTCCACATTGTTTTGGTCAGAAGACCGTTGACATGATTTTGCCTCAGAAGAGTGACTTAGGCGTGGTCTACCGTCCGCTGTACCACTGCGAGGTGCAGCTGGCACAAAGCTCATGTGAACCGAAGCGCGTCAAGACCCAATGATGATTCTTAAGCTCTTAAACTGCATGAGCCTGTCCCGTGTCACAGTAACGGTCAGATATTCATTGCCCAATCTCAACAGATCTCAACAGCATGTTGACTGCAGGATCTTAAGGAACTGGATGAATTGGGTTGACTCTCGTTCCACCTCATTGACCTGTAACTTTATTTTGTGGGAACCGGGGAGACCTCAGCTGTTTAGCGCTGCTCGTGCCACTGCGCCGCACCGGTGCCATTTCCCGGGGGCATGGCTGTGGAGCTGCCTCCGCGTCCAGGGCAGGCAGCTGGGAAGCCACAGGATGATGAAGCGAGAATTCGCCAGGACGTGGCTGTGTTGTCAGACATGTGACCAAATCCAGCTGGATTTCTGGGATGTTTGTTTAACAAATTAAATTAATGTTATAACGTTATGCCACATGCTGCTTGGAATGCATCAACTCAGCAGCTATTGAGAACTGCAGCTCCAGAAGGGGAACTCCCGATGCTCAGTCAAATGCTAATTATATTACATATAACTTTGCCTGTTAGGCATTGGGATGCTCAAGGATCTTCAAGTCAACCGCTTGAGAGGCATAGAGCTACAGTAATCAGAGTGAACAGTTTTGGTTTGACCTCGTTCCCTTAAAATGAATACTTCACCATCATTGTCCCCTTCTGGTCCGCACTCAGATGGGTCAGATGGACTTCATCCGCTTTGACAGGACTTGGCCACGCTCTGTGTGCGCGGTGAGATGCAGCAGGTCGTCGAAGCCTTGCAACGGCCCGAGGTGAAGCAATTCGCTTCCCAGCCTCTAGATGCTGCTGGACAGGGCAAGAAGAGGGGACAACATGGATATTTTTCAAGTTTTTCAAGGATGGTCAGCACAAAGGATCAATGCAGAACGCGTAGCATACAGACATACAGATCTTTGGGTTCTGGACTCTAGCTCGATGCTGCGAGTGAAGAGCATGCAGATGAGTCAAGCACAGCTTGGGCTACCTGCGTGCAGGAGCCTCTGCTCTCCATCTAGCAGCCTTCGGCGGACATTTGGCCTTTGTGCAGGAGAAGTCATGAGAAGATATGAGAAGTAGTATGAGAAGTGCTTCGTAGGGGGGGGCCAGTAGTCATGAGAAGTATGAGAAGTATATACTGTATGTTTTCCAGTGCTTGGGTGGAACACATTCACACTTACGACATCCGAGCGCCCCCTTCTTTGTCAGTGATGCTTAGCGTTACGTAGTTACTTTTCCGATTCCTGCTGAGTTGTGTAGTTTTTGTTTCCATCGCAGGACGAATGCCTCCGGTTGTCAGCCGTTTGTCGTTGTCGGTGTGCCATGCGGTTTGAATCTGATGCACCCTTTTCATTTTGAATTGATCTGCTTCGGTCGGGTTCAGGAGCTACTCAACAGCTCCTGCGAGGTGAGCGTGCAAGACAGCAACGGTCAGGAACCACTACATGTTGCTGCTGCCGAGGGGCATTCAGACTTGGTCTTGGAGCTTTAGCTTGGAAGGGCGATTCGCGGGATAACATGCACAAGGCTGCACCATCATACCAAGTACTGGTGCTAGCACTTCTCCACAATTTTCTCTAGTATCAATAGCTTCAATGCTTTGAGGACGGGTCACCATTTTGGATTCTTGGTCCAGCCTTTCTCCCATTCTACTTCTCTCTTTGCGATAGCGATAGCATGTGACAAGGAGGGATGTCATTGGACATGCCCTGGGTGTTGAGGAACTCCTCATGGCCAATGCAAATGTCAATGCTGCAGATGGCCGCGGTCAGACGCCTGGTTGCAGAAGTTGAGGTTGAGATAGACTGGGGACAAGTGGCAAATGCGGCTAATGCCGATGTGTTGTTAAAGTCTAATGTCCCCATGCCCTTGGATGTTTATGTCCCCATGTCCCCGGCCACTTTATGCCCTTGGCTAATGCCCTTGGTGAAGCATGCTATCTCTCAAGCTACCAGGGCCAGCCCACCTAAAGCATTTGCTCATAGGGCATTGTCCATCCAATGACATGGCATCCTTTGCACAGTTGGACCATTGGACCTCTTTATTCCAGGGAGAATCTGACAACTATGGTGTGTGGTGATCTCAGGACGGCCTTGCACCTATCCAGCTTGGTTGGGCCAGTGGCTTCTATCTCAGTGCTTCTGGACCAGAACGCGGATCCCACCTTACGTGATGTCTTTGGTCGAACGCCACTCTTCATCGCAGCGGAGCAGGGCAAGACGGAGCTGATGGCGTTCTTGTTGGAGAAGGACCCAACCACAGTCAGCATTCCCAACAATGAGCTTTGGACACCCCTGCACGTCTCCGCATGGAACATGCAAAGCGCAACTCGGCAGAATGGTGCATCACTCACAGTTG